AGTTTAGGTTGCATGTAGAATCATTCAAGCTCGACATGATCAATCTTGCTTGTGGAGTGATTCGAATCTCAATCAAGTGTTCTTGTCTTGAGATATTTGATCAACAAGAATCATTGAAGCTAGACATGATCGATCTTGCTTCTGGAGTGATTCGAATCTCAAACAAAGTGTTCTTGGCTTGAGATATTCGATCGACAAGGTAATCCGAATCTTATTCCCCTTGTAGTTGATTCTTTATCTTATCATTAATGATAAGATAAGGAATCAACTACAAGGGGAGTAAGATTCGGATTACCTTGTCGATCGAATATCTCAAGCAAAGAACACTTTGTTTGAGATTCGAATCACTCCAGAAGCAAGATCGATCATGTCTAGCTTCAATGATTCTTGTTGATCAAATATCTCAAGACAAGAACACTTGATTGAGATTCGAATCACTCCACAAGCAAGATTGATCATGTCGAGCTTGAATGATTCTACATGCAACCTAAACTACATAGAGTTGCAAAGAAACTTAGCCATTGGCTAAAGAAAAGCACAAATGCTTCTTTTGATATATCTTCTAAGTCTTTTTACAAATACAACATAGATGGCTTTATATAGCCTCAAAATGAAACTATTAAAGGCATTCCAAAAGTTGTAACATTCACACTTTATGGCCATAATTAGCCATTATGTAAATGTAACCGAAATTAAATAAAAAGTCTTAATTACTCTAAATTATAACCCACCCAAAATTTACAACAATCAAACTTTATTCTTCTTCAATGTAGCATGAATTGAAACATCTTTTGATAATTTTGACAACCTTTTCTTCACATCTTCATTGAAGCATATTGTATGATTGATGTCTCTTGGTTCATATCATAAAGACTAGTAAAGAGTTGACCAATTCATCTTGGGATCATGCATAAAAATGTGATTGATAAATACGATTTGGGGAGCCACGTGATGAAATATGATGTAACACCCAAAAAAATAAAGGAAATTTGCTCCAATAAGAACCGGCGCTCATGTAAGATCCAAAGGATTCAAGGACTTGAAATTAAGAGGATCAAGCAAACAAGGACAAGAGTCTTAAGCAAGTCATTTCTACAGGGTTAGAAGTAATTTTAAGAATTTAAGGCCGTTGGACAAAGATGGGAAAGGAAAAAGTGGGTGAAAAGGGCAAAAAGGTCATTTTTTCAATTATCGAGGATCTTTCTCGATTTTTAATTTCTTATCTAGAAGGAATTTTAAGATGGTCGAGAAGGGAAAAATGACCAGCAACATCAAGGGATTAAGGATTTTAAGAAAAATTATGGATGTTTCGAGAAAAATAATAATAAAATATTCCAAATGTGACAAATTACCAAAAATATCCCTAAAGTTCAACTTAATTACAAAACTGTAATTAAAGAAAATATGCAACTAGATTTGGTTTCAGAACCTTCGAGCAGAAGAAAATCAATCGTATATTCACTTCCAATCGTTGGATTGAGCTGCTATTTTGATACGTTTAACAAGACTCAAGGTTGTGTAGATCCAATGGTTAAAGTTGAAAACCAATGTCGGTAGCACCTTCATCGTTTTAGATACTTCCACTTAAATTTTAGATAAATAAAAAATGAGAAAGTTCACCACAATACTAGAACAATCAATGGCAGTGCAAGCTTGATCTATAAATAAGAAGTTATGAGCAATGTTTCAAGACAAGAATCGAGTGATGATTCCTAAAATTCGAGTTTGAAGCTTTTAGATTATGGATTCGTCTTCCTCAAATTTCTTCTAAATTCGAGGGTTGTGGTTAATCATTTTCCATCCTACCAACTCCTACACATTCCATATGGGATTTCCAACGAGTTTCGTGAAGGAATTGGGCAATGAAAAGCTCTAGAATCGGCTGTCCCGAAAAAAGATGAGAAACATATTTTCCGGCAAACTTTGGAAGGTTATAACTCAAGCTACAGACCCCAACAAGGTATGAAATTGGCCCATACTTCTTCCTTAAAACTTCATCTAAACATTTTGTGAAGAAATTTATCCCATTAGAGGTGTATATAGAGCTAACAAAGGCAAAACATGAGGAGTATGATAAGGAAAAATCGTGATTTTTCCAGCAACAAATGAAGAAGATGAAGTCCAAAGTCAAAGGTCAAACTTTGACCAATAAAAGTAAAGGTAGCCATATGTTGACCTTTCTACACTTTTTGATCGATTTGGACCCCTTTCAGGCCGGTTCTCATGAATTTCTTTATGGTTACTGAAACTAGACTCAAAGAGGAATCTAGTAAAGATAATTCGGAATAATTCCGAAACCGAAAGCTCAAGAATTGGAAGTCCCGAACACAGATGATGAGGTAAGTAGCCACCTCGGACTTTTCTTAAAAAATACTTGTTGGAATCGCTTGGATTTCCACATGAATCCTAAACCAAGTATGGATTAAGGATATATAAAAGAAAAACTCAAAGAACCATGAGTTAAAGCACTGAACCGATCAAATTGCTCGGGATTGAAGTAACATTAAAATAACAAACTAGATGAACTTCGCTGCCTATGAAATTTTAATGCTGAGCATATTATAGCATGTGGAGGTTATATATGAAATTTGGTGGTCATTGGATAAGGATAGGTAGGTAAACAAAGAAATGGTGCAAAATGACCATATTACCCCTAAGGATGTCTACCTACGGTTCATAACCTAGAGGACCTACAAATGTCTGGTGATGTGGAGAAGTTTGAAAGCCATTGGAACAATAAAGGGTAAAATGACCAAAATGCCCCTAGGACTACTTATCTAAATTCAAGGTCTATATGTCCTCCAAATGACTTGCTACTTCTTATAAGGCCTATTCCTAAAGATAACAAGGCATCAAGAGTTCAAGTTGATTAGAGCAAGCTTAGAACCTAAAGCAAGTTAGTCCCAAAGAAGCACCTAAAGGAAACACCTCAAGACTCAAGACTCTTGAACCCTCTAAGGAATTCATTATAAATCTATGACCTTGTAGAACAACTAATGCTTGTTATTACGATGGATTCATATGTTTACGGATGCAACTTATGCCTCAAGGAATTATGAACATTGGAAACTTACAAGATTGAGAACCAAGAACAATACCATACAAGCTCTACAACTACCAAAGCAAGAAGAATGCTAGGTACCACTCAAGGATAAGGGGACCAAGGTCCTAAAACTCGAAAACTCAAGGAAAAAATCATAAGACCTCCCACGGTACAACATGTTCTTGACTCAAAATACGCTGTAAGTATTCAGATTATGCCGCTTGGGATGCATGAAGTCTTGGGCATAGGTATTCATGTTGTAACATAGGGCAAGCACTGGGTGCAGGATTTCAAACTACGCTTCTTGGAGCGCTTGAAGCCTTGAGCGTAGGTATTCAGACTATGCTGCTAGGAACGCATGAATCCTTGGGCATAGGTATTCAGACTGTATCATAGGGCAAGTCCTTAATGCAGAATTAGACTACATCATTTCTTACGTAAGAAGCCTTGGATGTAGGTTTTCAGACCATGTTACTTGAAATGCATGAAGCCTTAGACATGTTGGAAAAAGGGATAGTGAAAGAGATAAGAATGATAAAATAGATGAATGCTGTAGTGCTTTATTATTGTCTACTGACTCGATGCATAGAGGGTTACACAATTCTAGTATTTATAGCTAATACACTGGACCAGAAATAGTAAATCATGCAAATCTAGATAAATTCAAATCTACTGACAATCCCCTAAAATCTTGGTAGTTTGAATATCTGAATCATATCTCAACTACTTCTTGAATACTCTGAATCATATCTCAACACTCCCTCTTGATTCAAAGTTGCAGATGTCAAGTATAGAGCTTTTCTTTTGACTAAACCATAGAACAGTGTGACGAGTCGGTTCAAAGTGTTCGAATTCAAATTAGGGAATATGCGTTACATATATACGATATGTTTAACCGCATTTTTGTTTTATTTTCGAATTAAACAAAAAGAGAGAATCTAAGATATTTAAATAAGATTTAAATATCTTAATCAATTGTGTCGGAATTGATTGGGATTGGCTTTTGAATTAATATTAAATATTAATTAAATAGTTTAATTAATCATTTAATGTTACTTTAATTTGAAATTCATTATTCAAATAAGAAAGTCAAAATGTTGACTTCATTTAATGAAAAAATCCATGTTAGTGAAATTTTGAGGTGTCAAAATTTGGTTTAACCAAACTTGCATGCTTGCCAAATAAACCCCACAAGTTTGAGTGGAATTTTGAGTGTCAAAATTTGGTTAACTCAAACATGCATGCTTGCCACATAATCCCAAACATTTGAGTTGAATTTTAAGTGTTAAAATTTGGCGATCTCAATTTTGCATGAACATGCAAACATGACTCTTTAAATAGAGTGATCATGGTGCATGAAAGATCTTCTTCTTCTTGGTGAAAAACCTTGAGAAAAACCTCTCACAAACACTCTCTTATCATATACAAAATCCCTCCCAAGTTTAGCCACTCACCGGATTCCACAATCCCGTTCTAAGGCCGGAGGATAGTGGAGAAGACACTAGGGTGGGTCCGAAACCGGTTCGTGAGGAAAAAAGAGTTTGAACTACAAAAGGTTAGTATTTAAACTCATTAATTTTTAATACTTGTGAACATGCTAATTATTTACTATAATTGATGTTCTAAAAGTGCCTAAGATTCAAATTGCTTCCGCATTTGTTATATTAACACCAACATGCATAACAAAGTTAAATATTTTAGTTATCAATTTATGTTTGGATGAAGCGAGGGAAATGGATCCATAACTTCTTTTAGTTTCATCCCAACTTGATTCCTAATTTTCAATTTGTATTAGATACATAAAAAGTTCCAAATCTAAAACCAAATATCATTGTCTCTCACTAGTTTTCAAAGATATATACATAAAAAATATAAGAAAGCAAAGGCAGCATGAGTACGATCAAATCGAGTTTCTTGGTTGCTACAATTTTGATGTTACTATTTTTATCTCTTACAGTCGATGCTCAATCTAGTGTCGATGTTGTTTGTCCTTTTACAAGATATGGTAACATAGTGTCTGGTACTGACATCAGGAAGGTAAATATACAATATGAACATCACTGTTATCACTGGTTGAATTGATCAATTGTTTGCTATAATTTTTGTAACTTGAGAAATGTAGACTTTAGCAAATGCATGGAAGGATGCATGCACGTCCAATCGTTCTAGTGCAATTTTTATTCCGAGAGGGATATTTAAAGTAAAGCAAGGGAATTTTGAAGGACCTTGTAATAGCCCAATTGACTTTCAACTTGGAGGAACATTGCAGGCACCAAAAAGTGTCCAGGGAGATAATTGGATCACTTTTGCCCGTGTTGATAGATTGACATTATCAGGTGAAGGAGTTTTTCATGGCCAAGGACAAGCAGCTTGGAAAAGGAATGATTGCCACAAACGCATAAATAGTGCCCAACTCCCCGTTGTAGGTAATATGCCTTCAGCTTTCCTTCTCAATCTCATGCATCTTGTTGTTTTTTTAAAGGGCCTCTTACATGTCTTCTCTAATGTTCTGACATTTATAATTTGGTAAGTGTTCTTCATTTTTTAGAGGATAATCTTTCAACAATCAAGTGAAAAGTGAATCTTTTTTTAGTTTTCAATTTCATTAGGTTCTGTCCAAATTTTTAGCTTCATTACCGAGCCTCACAAAATATTATTTGATTATACAAAATGTTTAGAGTTTTAAGTTCAACTTCATCACCAATTCAACCGTTAAGGGAATAACATCACTTGATAGCAAGAACTTCCATATCAACGTCCTCGGCTGCAATAACCTCACGTTCCATAATATAAATATAGCTGCACCAGAAAACAGTCCCAACACTGATGGAATACACATCGGTCAATCAAATAAGATCACAATCACAAAGTCCAAAATTGCAACTGGAGATGATACATTTCTCTTGGAGATGAAAGTAAAGTAATTGAAGTCACCAACGTGACATGCGGGCCAAGACATGGAATAAGCATCAGAAGTCTTGGAAGATACACTAACGAAGAACCTGTTGAAGGTGTCACCGTAAAGAACTGCACGTTAGTTAACACCACTAATGGTGTCATGATCAAAACGTGGCCAGCTTCTGCTGCTAGCGCCACCGCCACCAATATGCACTTTTTGGACATTATAATGCTCAATGTTAGCAACCCTATTCTAATAGACCAAGAGTATTGTCCGTGCAATCGGCAGGTATTGATCGCATTCTCGAACCTTTGATTCATTTTTTCACTATAACTTCACAAATAAACCAATTGTCGTCTCATTTTAATTTTTAGATTCCTTCAAAAATTAAGATTAGCACAGTGAGCTTCAAGAAGATTAGAGGAAGTTCTGCAACTCCGCTGGCAATCAAACTTATTTGCAGCCATCACTTACTATATGACGATGTAAAAGTAAGTAACATTGACCTCACTTACAATGGAATAAAAGGTCCTATTTCCTCCCAATGCGCGGATATGAAACCCATCATTTCAGGAAGACAGAACCCCAAGATATGCTCCTCTCCTTATGTTGTCCGATGAATTGTTCATTGCCATAGAACTTCAAAATAAGAGACAACCTTAATTAAAAGAGAAGACTGCCTCTATCCATTTGGCTCTCATTCTTTTGAGTTTCTTTTGTTGTACTTTTAGAAATAAATAAGATGGTCGAATGTTTGAAGGAGACTTTGTGTCGCGAACAACCTAATGTTTCTAGTACCTCGACCTCATACAATAAAATGGTTTCAGTCTTGTTTTTCATTTTAGATTTGGATTCCAAAAATTTGAGTGGAATTTTGAGTGTCAAAATTTGGTGATCTCAAATTTGCATGAACATGCAAACATAACTCTATAAATAGAGTGATCATGGTACATGGAAGGTCTTCCTTGGTGAAAAACCTTGAGAAAAACCTGTCACCAACACTCTATTCATATATACAAAATCCCTCCCAAGTTTAGTCACTCACCGGATTCCACAATCCCGTTCTAAGGCCGGACGATAGTGGAGAAGACACTAGTGGTGGTTCGAAACAGGAATCCCCTTCATGATTACTTTTCATTCTGATATGGTAATCAACCCAAGGGAAAGTATGGAACGGATTACCTTGATGATCAAGATCAAGAGTAAAGAAAACTCGTTTCTAAACTCGTGATTCGAATCACTCCACAAGAGGTTTGATCAATACCACTTGAATGACTCTACATGCAAGTTCTAAACACAAGAATTTGCAAAGAAAGTTTAGCTCTTAACAAAGCTAAAATAGAAATTCTATTCTTAATTCCAAAATCTCATGTCTAATCAAAGAAAAGAAGGCTTTATATAGCCTTTACAACCTTAACCTATGTCATACATAACTCCCAAATTAAATGGGCTAGTAAATGAGAAATACCCATAACCTCCATATTTAAATGGCTAGTTAATGGTGGAATATAGTAACCTATGTGGGTTACAATATAACCTTAACTCCTATATTTAAAACTAGTTTAAATATGACAAACAAATAGTTAAACTATAATTAAATAATGCAAATAATAAAATGTGCTTATTAGTCATCCTTGGACTATTTGATAAATTCAGCGGAGTTCATTAAATGCAACTTAAAGTGCATTTAATTCATCTCTTTCTTGAACCTCAACTTTGCACAACATATAAGGGAGGTCTCCAGCGTCTTCTAGAATTTCCTTTGATGAGCTCACCATAGCTTGAATATAACTGTATAAAGTTTGTTGTAGCTTCTTGGCTCTCGTCCTTGTAATTGGACCTTGAGGTATGGAAATTCCTTGGTCGTGGTTCATATCATTCTCCCCCTCTTGAGAAGGATTCGTCCTCGAATCCAAGCCATCACCTACATCAAAAGGGCTCAAATCAACAACATTAAAAGTTGCACTAACACCGTACTTACCTGGTAAATCAATTTTATAAGCATTGTCGTTGATGCGCTCAAGAACTTGAAAAGGTCCATCTCCTCGTGGTAAAAGCTTAGATTTTCTTTGAGTAGGAAATCTTTCTTTTCGGAAATGCACCCAAACCCAATCTCCTGGCTTGAAGATGACAATCTTACGTCCTTTATTAATTCGGGTGGCAACCTTGGAATTTTGTTTCTCAATTTGTTCTTTCACTTGCTTGTGCAGTTTATGAACAAACTCAACCTTGGCATTTGCATCAAAATTCACAAACTCTTTTGACGGTATGGGTAACAAGTCAATAGGGGTTAAAGGATTAAAGCCATAAACAATTTCAAAAGGTGTGCATTTAGTAGTGCTATGAACAACCCTATTATATGCAAATTCTATAAATGGCAAACAATCCTCCCAAGTCTTAAGATTCTTATCAATAATAGCCCTAAGCATAGCAGTCATGGTTCTGTTAACAACTTCAGTTTGTCCATCCGTTTGAGGATGACAAGTAGTTGAATATACTAGCTTAGTTCCTAACTTACCCCATAAAACACGCCAAAAGTGGCTTAAAAATTTTACATCACGATCACTAACGATGCTTTTAGGAATGCCATGCAATCGTACAACTTCCCTAAAGAACAGGTCTGCAATATGTTTAGCATCATCAGTTTTGTGACAAGGAATAAAATGAGCCATTTTACTAAATCGATCAACCACAACAAAAATGCTATCATAACCTTTCCTAGTCCTAGGTAAACCTAAAACAAAATCCATTGATATATCAATCCATGGACCATTAGGAACTGGTAATGGGGAGTATAAACCATGTGGTTGAAGCCTAGACTTAGCTTGTTTACATGCTATGCAACGACCACAAACTTTATGAACATCATGTCTCATTTTAGGCCAAAAAAAATGTTCAGAGAGCATATCATAAGTTTTAGAAACTCCATGGTGTGCCATTAAACCACCTCCATGAGCTTCCCTCACAAGTAGCTCACGGATGGAACAAGATGGTATGCAAAGTTTGCCTTTTCGGAACAAAAATCCATCTAACAACAAGTAATTATCCACAATGAGTCCTTTTTCACAAGATTCAACAAAAGGAGCAAAGAACATGTCATGTTGATACAAATCCTTTATGTGTTCAAAACCCAACAACCTAGCATTCAAAGTATTGAGGAGGACATACCTTCGTGATAAAGCATCTGCTACAATGTTCTCCTTTCCTTGTTTATATTTTATGACATACGGGAATGTTTCAATAAATTCTAACCACTTAGCATGTCGTCTGTTGAGTTTATTTTGTACTCTCAAATGCTTTAAACTTTCATGATCCGTATGAATAATGAACTCCTTAGGCCAAAGATAATGTTGCCAGGTTTGCAATGCACGAACCAAAGCATAAAGCTCTTTGTCATAAGTTGGATACCTCAAAGATGCACCAGTCAACTTCTCACTAAAGAACATTAAAGGTCTTTGATTTTGCATTAATACAGCACCTATCCCCCTACTCCACTAGCATCACATTCAATTTCAAAAGTAGACTCAAAATTAGGTAATGCAAGCAAGGGAGCAGAACTCAATTTTTCTTTCAAAGTATTAAAAGCAAGTTCTTGATCTTTTTCCCATATAAAGGATACATTTTTCTTAACAAGTTCATTCAAGGGTGAAGCAATTGTACTAAAATTTTTAATGAACCTACGGTAGAAACTTGCAAGACCATGAAAACTTCTTACCTCACTTACATTTTTCGGAGTAGGCCAATCTTTTATAGCCTTTACTTTCTCCTCATCAACCTCAACACCATTAGATGAAACTACAAACCCAAGAAAGTTAACTTTTTCCATGCAAAAGCTACATTTCTTTAAATTTACGTACAAACATTCGTTTCTTAAAGTAGTCAAAACATTGCGTACATGGGTAATATGATCATCTAAAGATTTAGAGTAAACAAGGATGTCATCAAAATAAACAACCACAAACTTACCTAAGTATTCTCGTAAGACATGATTCATTAGTCTCATGAATGTACTAGGTGCATTAGTTAATCCAAAAGGCATAACCAACCATTCATAAAGACCATACTTGGTTTTAAAAGCTGTTTTCCACTCATCCCCAATATGCATGCGAATTTGATGATAACCCGATTTTAAATCAATCTTAGTAAAAAGACTACATCCATGCAATTCATCAAGCATATCATCTAATCTGGGAATTGGATGCCTATACTTTATAGTTATCTTGTTTATAGCCCTACAATCAACACACATACGCCAAGAACCATCTTTCTTAGGTACAAGAATAACTGGAACAGAACAAGGACTCAAACTTTCACGTACATACCCTTTAGCAAGGAGTTCACTTACTTGCCTTTGTATCTCTTCAGCCTCCTTTGGATTAGTCCTATAAGCTGGTCGGTTTGGAATGGGCGCGCCAGGAATGAAGTCAATCTTGTGTTCAATCCCTCTAAGTGGTGGCAAACTACTAGGCATCTCCTCGGAAAATAAATGTTCAAACTCTTGCAAAAGCACAACAAAATCACTAGGCA